TACGATACACTGCTGGAAGGGGCAGAAGGAGAGGACAGTGAAAGGGAATATCGTTTGGGGATTGAGAATTGCTTTAAGGTCATCAAAATGTGATTCGCCTTGATATATTCAAGTGAATTAACACTGGTTCTGAGACTGAACAGGAGACCAGGAAAGGGCCCTGGGGAGGTAAATCCTAAGGTGGTGCGTGGGAATCTGGGCTGGATTCATATGCGTGTTTCGATGCTAGTGCCAAAGGAGTAAAACTGGAAGGATGCTTGTGGGCTCAGAAGGGAGGAGGAAGTATTTGAGCAAGGGAAGCACGGAGGAGCTGACTAGGGGCCGGAGAGACAGAAATAAAGGAGATGCCACCCCTGAAAAGTTTTGTGGACAGGGCCAAACCAGGGGTGTGGGGGTGTGGGATGGTTGAGTCAGGGTATGGGTTTTCTGAAGCAGCCGGTTACTTTGTGGGAAAGCCTGGATACAGGGATGCTTAACTCTGGCTTTGAACGAGAAGGTCCGCATAGATGAATCCAGAAAGCCGGGCTATTAAGGGTTCAAGCTGGCATGTCCCTAACCTGGGCAGAACAGAATTGAGTGTCACGGACACAAGTGAGTCCCTGGAACTGACACCACTTGTGTGTGCTTGAGGGCTGAGCTCCCTTTCCCTCTTCTGCAATCACACTTTAGACAGCCGACGGAGGAAATTAGGAAAGGCCAGGATAACCGAGGGATACTGAGGGGACCTGTGGAGGCAACTGGAGACCTCGCCTTAGCTGTTGGTTGCAGAAACCCTAATTTCTCACACGGTGCCGGGGCAAGTCTCTTGGTTAATGGTAAAATGAGCTAGAAACTGTGAATGCCTGACTGCCTTCTCTCCCACGTCTAACCTTGACACCTGCCACCCTCTACTAAGTGCTACAAGGAGTACAGTTTACACACGAGTGACATAATACCCCAAGCAACTCCTAGCCCACGCAGTGAAGAAACCCTTTCAGCCTTCCCAGGAAGCAAATTGTCTCCCTCATGATATGCCATCAAGAGCCAATACCAGAGGGGAACAAAGGGTGGGGGGGGGGGGGGGGTGCACGTCACCTCTGCCAGAGGTGCAGAGACTAGTACCTGGTAAGGGGGATGTGCCGGCTGAGCCAGGGTGCCTGGATGGCAAAGGGGCAGGTGAAGGAGAAGTCCCAGCAGGGAGCAGCACCAGCCCAGGAGGCAGACTTCAGGGTTGAGGCCACACTGCAGTATTTGGGCAAAGGAATCCTGGGCCCCGCAGAGGATTCCATGGCCTTCAGGGAAACCACCTGAGAACAAGCACACCATTACCTGAGTTGCAGCAGAGGGCTGCTGGCTGGAGCAGGGCTCAGTTCTGCCATTAGCAGTCTCCAACTGCTCCCACAGACTGTTCTCTGAATCACCTGCCTTGAGAACCTTGGCTCAGAAGATACAGGAGGGGTTGAAAGGGCAAGAGTTGTGACTTCAGAGAAACCGAGCTTTAAATCCTTCACAGCCTGCAGGCTGCGTGCTCACTCCACCACTGTGCTTCAGCTATGGCACAGGAGAGAATATATGGGATGCACCTGGTGTATAAGCAGCTCAATGTGTGCTAGTTTTTTCCTTCTCCCCAGGTGTAGGGACTCCCGGAGGTAAAACAATACAAATATGACTGGCCTAACCCTCATGACAAACTGACCCCTAACCTAAGCCACAGACTCCCTTCCTAACCTAGTGGCCCACAGGACTAACACTAGCCCCAGGTAGAGCTGAGATCCCAGGGTTGTGTCCTCCACAGACCTGTTTAGAGGTGACAGCTGCCACCCCGCTCCCAACATCACACTCCATTGCCCCAGCCCACCAGAGCTATGTTAGGGTCTGCCCCTGCCCAAGCCCACAGGGCTGACCCCAAGGGGACTTACTCACAGCCCCAAACTCCTCCACCTCAGCCTCAGCCCGTCTGACAGTTGGAGCTCAGAGCCTCAGCCCAACTGACTTCTGGTTGCCAAGCAGGTTGCCATGGATCCAAGACAGCAAGAACACTGTGGACTGAGTGTACTGAGCACGTGCACAGGAGTGGCAGGGGGCCTTGGGAGACATGGCAGGGGAGAGAGGAGAGGGTTTCTCTTGGAAGAAGGGGAGAAAGGGCATTAGAGAGAAAGCCCATTGCAGCCTCATTTCCCCAAAGTTCAGACTTTCCCACTGCTGGAAGAGGCAGTCATGGTGGGAAGCCCTCATGACCCAGGGGAGTCCTGTGAGGGAGGGAACTGTCCCTACAGAGACTAGGGGCTACTGATCTGTCTCCACCCTGTGCAGGCAGGAGACCAGGTCGGGTGAGCCCCTGACTGGCCAAAGGACTCTAAGATAGAATGTATCTGTAGTTTAAAGCAAAATAACTAAACGTGGGCACATCTTTTCTGTAACAGGACCCTGCTGAAGAGCAGAGTTGTGGTTACCACTTGGGGGTGATGGGAGTGGACACCAGCGACCAAGGGAACAGAAGTCTGGACTCCGCACTTATTTGAATGTCCATGGAACAGGCTGGTGTTTGAGGCATGTGACGGCCATTGTGCACCGATTATGTGCCTGGCACTGTGTTCAGGGGAGAATACCAAAAAAGTATACTGGGACATTTGCAAGTGTTTTTCCCCACATCCATTCCCCTCTTCCAACAGTTCCCATTTCCATTTGCAGACCCGTGTGATTAGGAGAGGCTGACCACACCCCCAGCTCCACAGGTATAATGAGTGTCAATCAGCACATTCCACTCCCCTGGGGTTGCTCCTGGGGTTTGGTTAAGTATGGGCATGTTCCTAGCCTCTCCAATCAGAATAAATCTCAAGACTTTTGTTGGGAATTCTGGATTATAGACTTTCTCTTTCCTCTCTTTCTATGCATAAATAAGAAAGTACATTGTTCTAGGGGCTTCTGGCTGCCTTTGTGGGATACTGAAGCTATTCCCAGAGAAAGGGAGAATAGACCTAAACAAAACAGGTTCTTGGTGACATTGTTGAGCCCTGATTGAAGGCAGCCCTATTGCTATACAGATTTGACTGACTGTTGCTAAAGGCCGAGTTCTTTGGTGCACAAAATTAGAGTCCAGGAAAGGCCAATGGAGTCTCTGGCAGTGAGAGAATAAGACAGGTAGGATTTCAATGATGGAGGGAAAAAGGAGAATATTCCAGTTTAGGAGTCAAGAGCTAAGAGAGAAGGATGCCTTTGCAAGACTGCTTTTCTCTTCTGGAGGAAATGGGGTGTCATGAGAAAATCAAGATGTGACTATTTGGGAAAGTGCCAGATCGGTGGGAGCTTTGAAAACCAAGAAGATACATGTAAACAAAATGGTAGTCAAAGGGGATATGTCATAGGGTCTTGACATCTTCACACAATGAAGTGACAGAAAATGCTTTAAGAAAAAACATCAGAGTGAGAATGTAACCAGTTAAGAATAGAGCCCAGGAGGCCAGGGAGGAGACTGTTAACAGTGACCAGATATGATATGACAGGAGTGGAATAAGAAAATAGTAACACCAAATATTTTACCCACAACACCTGCCTTATTTGAGGCTCTTTGTTGGGTGCTAACAATTTAGAAGGAATAAGACTGGTCTACCGAAGAGATAGGTGTGTAATACAGAGTGTAAAGATAGTAGGATAGGAACTTCAAGGAGATATGTGTACAAAATAAAGCAACGAGTAATGGCTGGAGTGGGAAGACTTTACAGAGATGACAGTAGAGATGAGTGTGCCAGTTTATGGAAAGTCCTGACTGGGCTTGGTGACAGATGGAACCTGGGAGTTAAGGGAGAAGGAAGAGCTGACACTGGTCATGGGAATGGAAATAGAGACATTTTGAAGGCAGACTCCAAGATATGGGGCAGTGACAGTCCTTCCCAGGGGTGAAGGAAAGGCGAGGCACATGCACATTTTCTGGCCAGGAGAACCTGGAGAATGGTGATGCTATGGACAAAACAAGGTTAATAATAGTAATAATAATGGGGCGCCTGGGTGGCTCAGTATGTTAAGTATCCGACTCTTGATTTCGGCTCAGTCATGATCTCACAGTTTATGAGTTCAAGCCCCGCATCAGGCTCTGTCTGACAGCACCAAGCCTGTTTGAGATTCTCCCTCTCTCTCACTGCCCCTCCCTCCTTCTGCCTCTGTTTCTCTCTCTCTCTCTCTCTCTCTCTCTCTCTCTCTCAAAATAAATAAACTTTAAAAATTTTTTAAAAATAATAGTAACAATCATAATAATGGTTATGAATACTTCTTTGTCAGGCACTGTTAATTCTCCTCATAAACATGGGGGACAGTTCCTGTTATTATTATTCTCACTCTGTGGATGAAGAAATGAGACATGGAGAGAAGGTAGCAAGAGTCCTAGTTTAAACTGAGGCAGTTTGATTCCAGAGACTGCCTCCTTAACCCCTACACTAGGCTGCCTGAGGAAGTATTCTGCATGCGGGAAAAAGATGACTCCAAAATAATTTCACATGACAACAAGACTTTGTTAACTACCTTTGCTTCAGCCCTGGGATGTTCTCCCATCAGGACATGAGTAAGATAGAGATGTGTAGATTTTCTGTCAACCCCAAATGCTAGCAATAAAAACCACCACACTTTGACAAATCAAGAGAGGTTCATTGTGGTCATTTCGCGTGAAGTGTCTGCAAAACGCATTACAAGCATTGAGCACTCATTAGTCATACTTTACAATACTTTTGTGAGAGTGTCTCATGGCTGAGACTCTGGCCAAGTGTGTGAGAAGGGCTGGGGGAGATTTACAGAGAATCCTGGGGACTTCTGCTCCTCTAAAGTTTTTGAAAGAAATCACCAAAGCTTAAGATGCATCTTCTCAATCCACATAAGGTAATTGTCATATGTCTGAAACCCCCGTAAGAAATAGCCAGCATAGGTTAACTTTTGAGCTGTTGTTTGCCTATTCAGAAATTACATTTAGGAAAAACTATTGAATGATGCTGTAAAAGACTCCATTTTGTGAAATTATTTGTTTCTGTTTAGGATCAAATGATTCTAAAAATGGGGTCACTGTGGCGGCTGGTGGTTGCCATTATGGAGGAAACTTTCTCAGGGTTATTCTTGGTTTCAGTCTTATCAGGGTACAGAAGAGACTGCAGGTAATTAATGTACTTGATAGCAGCTCTGAGGGTTTCCACTTTGCTGAGTCGTTTCTCCAAGTACTCTTCTGGCAGATGATGTCGGAGCTGGGCATAGCCTTCATTGACACACTTTACCCGCTGCCTTTCCCGTTCATTCCTTTTCCGGATGAAGGCTGGCCCATAGGCATATTCACACCTTCTGTAATTTGCATAAGGCATGGGGAAGGAGAAGGAGCAGGGTTCACCATAATTTTCCATGATCAGGGAGTCATTGGGAAAAGGCAGCAACGGCAGGTCTTCAGAGAAAGGGGATGGTACTGGGGCATCAGGGTACAGGTGGAAAGTGACCATGGGGTCCAGATAGAAGGACCTGGTCAGTGGCAAGTGGACAGAATCAGAGAAAACAGGCAGTTTTTCTGGCAGATTAGAGTAGCTTCGATTGTCCATCATTTCCTCTTTAGCCTGGAAACATAACCAAGTTTATTAATTTGGCCAGATCAAAAGAGAGCAGGTCTCATTGATTTTCTCAGAGATCAATAGTTTAAAGACTTCTCTGCTTTGATGCATAGTTCCTGAGCTCATTCTGAAAACGATATTGGGCTATAATACTCTGTGGGTAGGAAGAGAGGAATTTTTGGTGGTACAGGGGAACAGCATTAAATAACACTGACTCACTTTGTAAGAAAGTTATTCTCTTCCAGCTCTTTTGATCCTTGTGATTACAAAGATACAGCTTTAGTCTTGTAAGAGTGTGTCTTCCACATTACTAGAATGCTTTCTGATTCTCCCCAGATGGAGGCCTTCAACAAGCAATAGTATCTAACTAGAATTTAATAATGCTTTGCTGTTAATTTCTATTAATTGTGAATTATACTGATTTCACATTTATGGAAGTGATACAAAATTTGTTTTAAAAATACATCTGCTTGGGGCACCTGGGTGGCTCCATCGGTTAAGCGTCCGACTTCGGCTCAGGTCATGATCTCATGGTTTGTGAGTTCAAGCCCTGCGTCGGGCTCTGTGCTGACAGCTCAGAGCCTGGAGCCTGCTTTGGATTCTGTGTCTCCCCATCTCTCGGCCCCTCCCCTGCTCATGCTCTGTCTCTCAATAATAAGTAAATGTTAAAAAAAAACATTAAAAAAATACATCTGCTTGAGTAAAAAAAATCTCACTTAAAGAAAAGTAGTAAGTAAATAATAGTACAGGTGGAATACAGATAATGAAGACCGTGAAAGTGCATGCAATGCAAATAAGTAAAGTTTGGGAAACATTGAAATACCACAATATTCAAATACATGCTGGAAACATTAAAAACGAGTTAATGATCATGCAACCTCACGGGCATAGCGTTAATTAATACCTGATACGCCACAGGAAAAATAAAAAATAAAAATAAGAAAGGAATCATTTGCTCTTAAAAATTCACTTTAAGATTCTTTTAAATAAGAAACTCCCCTAATATACTTAAACATAGTCAAATTACATATTTTTACTTACATAGAACTTTAAATATATTGAATGAAGTCCATCTGTATTTAGGTGTTTTGTTGTTGTTTTTTTAACAGAACATAAGGATAGAACATTATACCCAAGAAGTCCCACACCAATACATTCCTTTTTTCTGAATAGGTCTTCATGCACCTCATTTATTAAACAACCGTTACTTTTTGCCTTTGACTATAATAATAAAGCCACAGCAGATTTTACAGGGATACTTCAGAGTAACGAGTTAACTGGGAGGTAGGGTAGTGCTGTAAGAAAAGAGCATTTTTCTTTCAGTTATAACACCCTTGAGTTTCAAACTTGGCTTTGCCCCTTCATAGCTATGTGTCCTTAGGCAAGCTTCTTAACCTTTCTGAGCTTCAGTTTTTTTCCTATGATCAACTGAGTTATTAACTACTCTGCAGGGTGGTTGTGAGGATCAAATGAAAAAATATATATAATGTACAGGCATCAGTTATTTTCCGCTTTCCTTTCTTTACAGATGAATACTTGTGTAGTGTCCCTTTCTAAATTGCAGCTCACAGAAAAACCTGGCTTATATTTTCCCTAACACTGGAAAATCAAACATTGGCCTATCTAAAACATATTGGTTGAGAGACGATCATACCTAAAATGGAAAAAGCAACATGAAATCTACCTGTGGGCCTCCAGAAAAGAGGGAAATATGACTTTCTGTTAATTCCTCAAGGATGTGATTTTAAAACATCTTTAGGAATGAGGGCTTGGCCTCTATAGTTGGCATGTGTAAAGAAAAAGAGGCAACTTCCCCTCCCCACCTGAAAAACCTCAGACCTGTTTATGAGCAAGATTAGGTAACATTTCACTTGCTTCTCTACCTGAGCATAGCAACAACCTGCAAGCTATACTATGTAATGGGTGGAGTAGCCTCTAAGCACCAGAATTCAAACACAATGAGGTATATATTTTTTTCTTTTCTCTTCTTTTCTTTTTTTTAAATGTTTTTAATGCTAATTTATTTTTGAGAGAGGGAGAGAGAGACAGAGCATGAGAAGGGGAGGGGCAGAGAGAGAGGGAGACACAGAATCAAAACCAGGCTCCAGGCTCTGAGCTGTCAGCACAGAGCCCGATGCTGGGCTAGAACTAACTCAGGAGCCGTAAGAACATGACCTGAGCCGAAGTCGGACACTTAACCAACTAAGCCACCCAGGTGCCCCCCCCCCTTTGTTCTTTTTAAGTAGGTTTCATGCCCAGCCCAAGAGCCCAACCTGGGGCTTGAACTCACAACCCTGAGCTGAGATCAAGAGTTTTAGTCTTAACCAACTGAGTCACCCAAATGCCCCTAAGGAAGTGTATTATTTTAAAGTAAAGTGCGAAAAAGCCTATCCCATCTAGTATGGCTACTGAAAGATGAAAAAGACTATAGAATCAGAGAGGGCAGTATGTGATGGGGGTGGGGAGGGTGGGAGGTGAGGAGTGCTATAAGAAGTCATGGTGAAACACCCAGGAAAGGAGCAATTGCCAGGAAAAGCTCTTCCTAATATGGGGTTGGGGGTTGGAGGTGGGGATGAGACAAGTGTGTAGGTGCAATTAAAAATCAAAACAAAGGAACAAGAAATGAAAGATTCCAAATTACTGACCAAATTGGCCTAAAATAACTAACATAAAACAAAAATCTCTTGAAGATTAAAAACTAGCCAAGATTCTATCAAAAATAAAAAGTTGCTGAGAGAAAAGTTAGGAAATTCCCAAGGCAGGAATTCCAGAGGATAAGAGATAAAGAACATGGATGGCAGAAGCTACAAAAATGGCACAGTGGGTATGGAGTCTATATTTCTACATTTCTGAGAACAGCAGAGCCTTATTTCTGCCTATAGCTAATAAGCCAGAACTGACACAACAGAGTATCACAATGTAAAGCAGATGTCAGCAAAGCCAATTACACACAAGAATTCTATAGGTATGGTTTTACCCTGACAGATAGTTTTAATGTCTTAAACCTTGACCCAGATGAAATCTGAGTAATTTACATATGCCACAGGTACTTGAAAGTTTCTAGGCTTTAACTAGACTATGCATATTTCTTAGAAAAAGAGCTTGGTGTCTCTGTAGACACGCTGTTGAGAAGCTTTTTTTTTACTAAGCATTTCCCAAAAGTTCACCAATCAATGTAGTAGCATTGAAATATGATTATCTTTTACTCAAAGAATAAAATTTAATCACAACACAACAGAGTGATACAATGATAAATGCAGTAAAGAAGAGGGTCAAGATAGAAACCTACTGGAGGATGGAAGTATTTGTAGAAATTGAGTACAAATTTTTAAAATAAAGCAACACAGATTATTGGTGTTGGGGCTTCACAGCTCCAGATACATGCACAGCTAACAAATGCACCTATCTTGGGAAAATCTCAGATTTCTGTCTTCTGGGAAATAAATGATGAGGTCTTAATGATAAAATCCTAAGAGATTCCGGTAGTTCTGCTAAGCATAAAAACTTCAACTTTTCAAAGATATTAAAAATATCTAGCCTGTAAGAAAAAAAAGCTACAAGTGCACGTATAATTGATTTATGGAATCTTAGGGATGGAAAGAATCTTACAAATCCTCTTATCCAATCCCTCATAGGTTGTGAGTTGGCTAAGCTTGCAGAGCTCATAGCAGAGCAGGGGTCAGAACCTAGGTCTCCTGATTTCCAAACCAAACCCTTTCCACTTCTCCAGATCTAATCACCAGCAAAATCTGGATCTTTCAATTTATGGGCTTATTTGATAGTTTAAGACAATGGAATAATCAGTTGATAAAATTCATCATTTACCAACTGTGCCTGGGAATTTTCTTAAAAGCCATATTCTTATTCTCCCTCTGTGGGCCACTCTGGAAAAGAGTCTCTTACCTGTTTTGTAGCTAAGATGCTGTATTTTGGGCTGTGTCAGACGTAACCTGATTTATAGGTGATCATTTAGTAACTGTATGCAAAGTAGCTTACAGTTAAACAGAACTGCTTAGTTCTGGTTTAGCCATTTTTTCTACTTAATATGTAGATATGACAACACATAACAATACTAAATAGAAAGGTTTGCTTACAAAACTGGACTCTTATAACAAATTATTTTGTAAAAAGAATGCCTCCCAGCCATCTGATTCATATGATTTTCTATCAGAATTATTTATGGAAAGTATCTTTAAGTAATAGTCTCATAATGTTGGTCAATATTCTTTTAAATAGAGATTAAGGCTATAACCAGGGAGGTAAACATGAACCTAAATATAAACCTAATACATTTTGTTAAGATACCTGTTATATTTTCCTCTATTGAGACTTTATTTTTTAGAGTAACTTTAGATGCACAGCAAAATTGAGCAGAAAGTACAAAGATCCCATATACCCATTCCCTGCACTTGCACATCCTTCCCCACTGCCAACATCCCGCCCCAGTAACATATTTGTTACAATTGATGAACCAATATTGACACATCACTCAAAGTCCATAGTTTACCCAACAGTTCACTCTTAGTGTACATTTTATGAGTTTTAACAAATGTATAATGACATGCATCCACCATTACAGTCTCATACAGAATAGTTTTAGTGCCCTAAAAAGCCTCTATGCTTCACCTTTTCATCCCTCCCCTGACAACCACTGATTTTTTTACTGCCACCATAGTTTTGCCTTTCCCGGAATGTCATATAGTCGGAATCATGCAGTATGTAGCCTTTTCAGATTGGCTTCTTTCACTTAGTAATATGCATTTAAGGTTCCTCCATGTATTTTTATGGCATGATAACTCATTTCTTTTTAGTGATGAATAATATTCCATTGTCTGGGTGTATCACAGTTTACTTATCCATTAACCTACTGAAAGACATCTTGGTTGCATCCAAGTTTTGCTAATTATGCATAAAGCTGCTATAGCCATCCGTGGGCAGGTTTTTGTGTGAAGATAAGATTTCAACTTATTTAGGCAAATACCAAGGAGTGTGATTACTGGATCATATAAGTGCATGTTTAGTTTTGTTAAGAAACTGCCAAACTGTTTTCCAAAGTGGCCATACAATTTTGAGCTCCCACCAGCAATGAATGAGAGATCCTGTTGCTCCACATCCACACCAGCATTTGGTGTTGTCAGTGTCCCGCATTTTGGCCATTCCAATAGTGTGTAGTAGTATCTCATTGTTGCTTTAATTTGTATGTCCCTAATGACATGACGTGGAGCATCTTTTCATATAATTATTTGCCATCAGTGTATCTTCTTTGGTGAGGTACCGTTCCGGTGTTTGGCCCATTTTTAAGTCAGGTTGTTTATCTTCTTGTTGACTTTTAGGAGTTCTTTGTATATTTTGGATCATAGAAATGTATGTCTTTTGCAAATATTTTCTCCCAGTCTGGCTCATCTTGTTCTTTTGACAGTGTCTTTCACAGAGCACAAGTTTTTAATTTTAACGAACTCCAACTTCTTTCACCATTCACGCTGTTAGTGTTTTGTCTAAAAAGTTATCACCAAACCAAAGGTCATCTAGATTCTCTCCTATGTGATCTTCTAGGCATTTAAATTTTGTGTTTTACATTTAGCACTATGATCTATTTTGAGTTAATTTTTTGAAGGGTCTCAGGTCTGTTATCTAGTGTTTTTGTTTGTTTTGTTTTCGCATGTGGATATAGTTGTTCCAGCACCATTTGTTGAAAATGCTTTCTCCATTGCATTGTCTTTGTTCCTTTGTCAAGATTAGTTAGCTACATTTGTGTGGGCCTATTTCTGGGCTCTCTGTTCTATTCGTATCTATTCTTTGGTCAATACCATACTGACACTGACTTGATTACTATAGCTTTATATTAAGTCTTAGAGTCAGATATGTCAGTCCTTCAACTTTGTTCTTTTCCATCAATATTGTGTTGGCTTTCTGGGTCTTTTGTCTCTTTATATAAGCTTGAGGATCAGTTTGTTGATATCCACAAAATTATTTGCTGAGATTTTGGCTGGGATTGTGTTGAATCTATAGATCATTAGGAAAAACTGACATCTTGTCAATCAATATTGAGTTGTCCTATCCATGGATATGGAATATCTCTCCACTTATTTAGTTCTTCGCTCTCTTTCATTAGTTTTGTAGTTTTTCCTCATGTATATTTTGTACATATTTTGTTATATTTATACCTATTTCATTTTGGGGGGTACTAATGTAAACTATATTGTATTTTTTTATGTTTATTTATTTTGAGAGCGAGAGAGAGAACAGGAGCAGGGGAGGGGCAGAGAGAGAATAAAGGAGAGAATCCCAAGCAAGATCCGTGCTGTCTGCATAGAGCCCAAAGTGGGGCTTGGTCTCATGAACCGTGAGATCATGACCTGAGCCGAAATGAAGAGGCAGCCGCTTAACCAACTGAGCCACCCAGGTGCCTCTGTATTGTTTTCAATTTCACTTTAGATAGTATATATGAAAGCAATTGACCTGTGTATATTAACCTTCTATCTTGCAACCTTTGTATAGATCACTTAGTTCCAGGAGTTTGGGGGTTTTGTTTTGCTAATTCTTTTGGATTTTGTAAGCAATCATATCATCTAAGCTGTTTTATTTCTTCCTTCCCAATCCGTAGAACTTTTCTTTTCTTGTTATTGCATTAGCTAGAATTTGCGTATGATGTTGAAAAGGAAGTGATGAGAAGATATGGTATCCTTGCCTTGTCCCTGGTTAATAGGAAATCTTCTGGATTCTATGAAGTATGATGTTAGCTATAGGTTTCTGTAGACGTTCTTTATAAAGTTGAAGGATTTCTCCTCTATTCCTAGTTTACCAAGAGTTTTTATCATAAATGGGTTTGAATTGTGTCAAATGCTTTTTCTGCATCTATTGATAGGATCATGTCATTTTTCTTTAGCCTGTTGCTGTGATAGATTTGTTGATTTTTCAATGTTCAATCAGACTTGCATACATGAGATAAATTCCACTTGGTCGTAGTTGAACTTACATCTTTTAATACTGACAATAAAATCAATAAGTTTAGATTAGGTTCGTAGGTTCAAAAAAAATGTTTTTGACTAGCCAAAAAACCCATTAAGAGCTCCTAAAACCTTGGCCTTATTAATTTAATGTAATTTAATTATCATTTTGCCAAGAATTTCTTAGAACAAGCACTCCTTCATGTGTTTTTTTACATGAATTTTAATCTATTTGTCAAAATAATATTTGTATACTTTCAGGGCCACATCAAAATACCCATACATTTTCTCTTTCTCCCTTTTTCTCCACACACACACAATTTAGTACCAATATTTTATAATTAAACTGTCATAAAACAGTAGTCTCATAACATGATACCAAATGTCTTTGTATCTTTGAATGTATTATGCAGCAAATGAAGGAGGAGAGAAAAGTTAGGAGACATAGATATACTGGTAAGTGTTTCAAAAATTATTTTTATTGTTACATTCCAAAGAGGACGTCCAAAGAAAAAAGCCAGTTATCCAATAACTGTTACACGTTTCAGAAGGAGGCCCCCAGAACCCCAGAACACACTAGAGCTCAAACAGCTGCCTCTCCACCTGACCGGAAATGTTGACAAAGGTGTGTATGTCACCAATCCAGAGAGGCTTGGGGTAAAAGAAAATTCCTTTATTGCAAGTGTCCAAGTTCTTAGGATTCATCCTTAAAGATACTAGAAGAAGATGAGAAAGACCACACACACCAGACTATGTTTAGTCATTAGAGTAAACTAGCAAATTGCTAGTTTGTCCTAGGATGCATTGCATCGGACATCACAGTACATGAGGAAAATCTGCATTTTATGAAGAGCCACCAGGTATTTCAGATCCATTTTACCATGAAGTGCAGCCACAGGCGAACCAGATACCTAGATAATATAGTCAGTGCAAAATTCAAATGGGTAATTCAGGGCTTTGATGAGGTTGGCTACACTGCAAAATATAAATGAAACTTGAAAATAGAATGTTAAGTCTATTTACAAAAGTGTGTTTAGTAAAGTGACTTGAGAAAAGTTAAGCTAACCACTTCCCACACATCCCTCCCCGCCCCTGCCAGAAAAACAAAACAGAACAAAACAAAACAACAACACCTGAAAATTATCTTGAAAACCAAGTTAAAACTGTGTGGTGAAAAAGACAGTGTTTGTTCCAGGTAAAGGACTTCAAGATAATTTACAGGCAGACTTATTTTTTATTAGTAAAAGTCACAAATAGGAAAAAGGTTTATTGGTTGACTTTGAGGTGTGTGCTTTTAAAAATGTCTGTATTAATACCTTAACAAGAAAAGAAAATACCAAGCACATTTTTGTTTCCAATGCTGAATTTCCCAGCAAGAGTTGGTGAAATCAACAGGGTATTAAAACAAAACCCAGGAATACTCAGTCAATTTTTTTTCAGTTGTCTGCCTTATTTCTTTCTAATCACCTGCAGTATGATTTCCAATTAGCTGAGGACAACATGACGGTCAAAGACGGATTTTCGCTGCTCTTGAACTTGAAGCTTCCAGCGCTGCTGGGCATACTCTACCTTATTCAGCACATTGGCTCGACTGCGGGAGCGGGCTAGCACATCGTGGGCATTTGCAAAAGGCTGGTGATCCTGAAAAGTCCAGGAATGGAGAACATCAGAGGTGGCATGATAGTGTGAAACACACACACACACACACACACACACACACACACACACACACACACAAACTGCCATTATCCAGCCACAGAGATAGGAGCAGCTGGACTTTACAAACAACAGACCATCTCTTTGACCAAGCACTCCTAGGCACCCAAGTGCCAGAAGCAGGATGAACTCAACTACAGTAATAGGTGGTTCAAGTAGTATGAGTGATGAGGAGGTATTTGTGAAATGTTTCCTTGAGTCACCATTTCCAAAGACATTTCCCAGAAGAAGCAGGGACCAAGACAGACAGTGGTCATTTATGTTAAAGACAAGCTTTCCCTGACAAGTAGGAGAAAGAAAATCCATTTCCACATTAATAGCTACCTGTTACAGATATGAAAAGCAGGACTTCTCCCTGTTTTATTCAATACTATATAGCTAATCTTGCAGAGGAAAGACTTGTCATTTAATTTCCTGACTCCCATTACATTAGAGTTGTTAACTTGCCAGCTTGGGGCCACATTCATCCTTGGGAGAGGAGTTGACAGGATCTTATCTTGGCTGGTTTTAATATTTCCCTGCATCTTTAACACATACACTAAATGGACTGGTTTCCAAAATCCTTTTCATTCCCCCTCCCCGAGTCTGTAAGGAAAAGAGACATAGCTCAAGTGCCACAATTACCATCTATTACCAAGGACAGTAGGAATTATTACTTCAGCCTTTTTATTTGATAAGTACTTGAATCTTTCACTCCTGGGCACTCAGGGGCTTCCATGTTAGTTGCTGCTTTCGGAAAGAAGCTACTGAAGGGTTACTCAGGTACCTGTGTAGAAAACCAAGCTATCCTGGTGAAAGTAAACCAATGCCACTGATGTTTGTAGTCATTACACAGGAAACCACTATGCTAATCTATCTATGGATTTGATATAAACACAGCTGCCTAAATGACAAAAAGCATTCAATACTAGTTCATTGCTTTTGTTTGCCTTTTCCTTGATCTTCTTCCTGAACCCTGTGTTAGCAAAGCTTCTAAATGTTCCAACATAGGATCCAAGTCACAAGTTGTACCTCTCTCATTAAACCTTGCCTCAAAGAAAGAAATATTGTTTTGCTGTGCACGTTTGCAAAAGCTCCATTATATATCCAGGGCGGGAGTCAGCACGTCTATAGAAAGCTATCCATAACCACATTAACTATATATACAACTTTCACTATGTGGAGTTATAACACCTGGTCTTCTTTTTATAGAAAGACACTTACACAATGTCTACATTTCAAATACATCAAAGAGTTTTCTATAAGGAATCTTTTTCCCTGCCTTCTCTGCCAAAACCGCCTCAACTTTTCACTTACTTTAGGTACCAGCTTGTTACAACAAAGGCAAACGGCAAGCCCCCTGCCCCTTTAAAAAATTTTTAACCTTACAAATGAAAATAATAAAAACATATTCCATAAAGTTCAAAATGTTTCAAAGATTTAAGAAAAAAGGTCAGGAAAGAGGAAGGCTGAAGTTGTTTGATTACTTGAAATACACTGACCCGAGGTCATCTAACAAGCGAACACAAGGCTTACCTCACCTAACCTTGACTTGGTGTTACATCATCTCTACACACTGATTTTGTCCAAGTAGATTAAAATGACTCTATGGGAATATGGTGCTTCAATGAACTTGTATATAAAATAGTATTACCATTGGTTTGTTTTGACATAAACAAGAGTGGGAAGAAGGATATACTTTATCAGCAGAGCAGCTCTCAATTTCATAGTCCTGTTATCTACCCTTCAAGGTAGGGGGAGAAAAACCTTTCTAAGGGACAAATTTAAAGGACTAAACAAACCAGTTAATCCTTCTGGTCTGTTCTCCACCTATCAGAACAAGATTGAACTAGCTGCTCATGGTCATGGATGCTGGGAGAATGCAAATAGAGACTTACCCCTTTTATATGTTTGTTCTTTTTACACCTGATAAAATTACAATAAATACAAAACATGTTTTAATGCAATGCTTTGATAACAGCAATGATGTGTCATGGATACATGATACGATAAATATTGTGACTACTTGCAGTGAGCTTAACTATTTGTACTAATTCTCACTTGATTTAAAACGCTCTACAGTGAACAAAAATGGAAAAAATAAAAGAATTTAACAGAATTTAATAAAGCATTTTTAAAAGCACATAAATAGTAAAGAACCCTCATGATAGATAAGCAACAATTGTAGGAATTTAAATTTAGCTTCTTTTTGTACAGAGTTGTTATCATAAATTCACAGCTGGAGGTTAGAAAACCTTTCTCTCTGCCCAGAATCAAGTCAATAGATATCCAAGAGTCAGCCAGACATCTCAGAGAACATGTTTTCAGTTAACATATGCACAGAATCACTCACTGGTGAACAAAATGGTTATTAAGCACATTACCCTACCCATCACATGACTTTCCTACATGTTTTCTTCTACGCATTTGTGCATCCACTTCTTGTATGTTCTATGTGTGTTACATTATTTCTAAAATCAGGAGCCAGATATTTTATACTGCAAAGAATATAGTTTTAAGTCAGACTCTCTATCTGGGTGCCTATTATGAAATGGTTTATGTGGCCTTTAATACATAACATTTTCATGTTAGTTCCCAGCTGGGAGTGTTTTGCCCCCCAGGAACATTTGCCAATATCCGTGGACATTTCTGATTATCATGATTGGGATAAAGGGTGCCACTGGCATCTAGGGGGCAGAGGTCAAGGACGCGGCTAAGTACCTTACAATGGACGGGAGAATACCCCACAACAAAGAATTATCCAACCCAAAATGTCAATACTGTTGAGGTGGAGAAAATCTGTCATATGTGAATGAAAAGTAACATGGGAACAGTATTTGAGACTCTAATGCTTCTGGTATACAACCTCCTGTGCTTCTAGCTCTCTTGTCCCGTTAGCCCCGTATGCCTAGTTTTTGCCCACATCAGATCTCCAGTCTTGACCTTTCTCCCAGCCTATCACTCCCTGCCTTGAATTCTTACAAAATAAATAGGCGTTTGTTACATGTTTAAAAATAAAAGGTGGAAACGTACTGTAATTAGTCATTTCTTTTATGTGTCTGTCTCTGTTTCATTCATCTCTTTATTCCTAGTCCCTAGCAGAGGACCTGATACAGAAAAGTTACTCATTATGTATTGGTTGAATTAATAAGGAAGCAAGGAAAAAAGAGGCAGAGGTGTTTCTATGAAAGTTCTTGACAAAACATAAATGAAATCTTGCCCAAATCAGTTAAGTATTCATAATTGATATTCATATGATAATGTATTCATTGAAAAGTAGGCTCTGTTTGTAGTTATAACTCAAGCCATCTAGTCAGGATATCCTCTTCCCATCTTTTAGCAACAAGTCCACAAGCAATTCCAGAGTAAAAGGACTTCTGACTATGGTTGGCAAGGGCTCACGCTGGCTTAAGCTTTTGGGATTGGCTCTTGAAACTGTCGAATTTTACCCATTTTAAGGAACATAGGCCAATAGAGTAATCCAAAATAAAAGTAATTTCTGAAAATATGTACATATAGAAGAATGAAATAGTAGAAAATTTGGAAAGAGGCCCAAACAGGATAATAACAAAACAATATAATTCTCTAAGTTATACTGAATAAATAACAAGTCTGTGGAGTATGTTCATTACCAGACATTTGTGAATGAAGTAATGTTAACATAAAAAGGAGACCACAAACTAATTTACACACATTATACCAAGTATATGTACAAATATAAATGTGTTTTGAAGACAGGAAGAGAATTGAGAATGATAGTTTTATTTTCCTTCAAAGATTTTTTTTTTTAGAAGGAGGGAAAAAGAAATATAAAACATCAGCAGGTTATCAAGCTGCACCTCATTAAGAAAAGAACATTGTCTTCATGCTTCCCTTCACTAAAGCCTCTGCCCTCTAATATATTTGGTCATGCTGACAGGAAAGGTATTCAGGCAGGAGCTTGGGGAGAAATCTATCTCAGAAGCTTTTCTCAGTGTAAACAGGGAAAGGCAATGAAGATTGTGCCCTTGATACTAAAGGGCAAAGCCTTGCGCAGCACACTCACCAAGTTTAAACTACCATATTGATGGCTTTACAGAGCAATTTCCTCATGAAGAGACATATACTACAATCAGACCAGTCCTTAGCTTCTCTATTTGAGCATCTGCTCCAGCACATGAACATCTATATGCGACCATTTTTCACTTGCTCTTTGTATCAGATGAGGACAGAGACTGGCCTCACAGCTAGGGCAAGCCAAGTACTTACCCCAACATCATCATCGCTCTGTATCAATTGTGAGTGTCCAAACAGGCGTCTCTTCAGTATGGGCTCAACAAGGGTAAGATATACCATGTACAGAAGTAGAAGGCCCAAAATGGAGAGATAAATTATAATGGTAACCTGAAGGAAATTGAAAATAAGTTAATCTCTATTCAAGCCAAGAAATCAGAATTTTGTGTAATAATGACACCACAGTGAAGACTGATTTTTCAGCAAAGCATATAGGATTCTTATACAAACCAGATTCCAACATAAACAAACTCAACTCTTCACCAAAGTATTATTTAAATAGAACGAGGAAAGTAAGCATGTTGTCTTTGAGATCTTTTTGCAAGTTTTCAAAACTCCGTCTTCACCTACTGATAATCATCTGTCAAAGCTGCTAGCACACAGTTTGCTTTTTTCACCTGAAGATGGTATCCTAGATTCAGCAGCACTGTGTTAAGACAACTTAAAGGAACCCTTACAAAAAATGTAATTCAGATGAATTTCAACAGAATACTCTTTTAGATCAATTTAGATATACAAAAATACACTTCAGGTCAGTGATTTCCCTGAGATCTTAATTTGTATGCTGTCAAAAAGTACAGACTCTGGAATGGCTATAATTAAAGATAGACAGTGCCAAATGTTAGCAAGAATGTGGAAAACATGAACCCTCATACATTGCTGGTGGGAATGTAAAATGGTACAACCACTTTGGAAAACATTCCAGCAGTCTCTTAAAAGTTAAAATAAACTTATCTCTCTAAGGAATCTACCTGAGAGGAAAACATATATTCACACAAAGACATGTGCACAGATATTTATGACAGATATTTATTATTTATTCATAATAATCAAAATGTGGAAATAACTCAAATGTCTATCAACTAATGAATGGATAATGAAAGTGTGGTATATTCATATACTAAAATGCTATTCAGTAAAAAAAAGGAATTAAATACTGATAATGTGCTAGAACATGGATAAACCTTAAAAACATACTAAGTGAAAGAAACCAGCCACAGAAGACCACATATTGTATGATTCTATTCATATGAAATATCCAGATCTGTAGAGACACAAAGCAGAATAGTGATTGTCAAGGGCTAAGGTGTGGGAATAAGATTAACTGTAAATAGGCATGAGGGATCTTTTTGGGGTGATGGGAATGTTGTAACACTAAATCTAAAAATTTTTTTTAATTGTTTTAAATTTCCCCAAATTTATTCAATTATACACTTACAGTGAGTGACTTTCAGGGTCACTCGTGTAATTACACATCAAAAATTTAGTTGAAAAATAAAAACGTACAGTGAGGATTTCTCTACTGGATAGCATCCTGCTGGAACAGAAACTCTCCCACAGAAATCTCTGTAATTGTTACACTGACCACCCCAGATTCTTCATGAAGTCTTTTCTCAGGGAAAATGAATAGGAAGTTTCATGTAAAAAATTAGGGAGGAGAACTGTTAGCCACCATAATAAAGTAATTTAATTCATTAGAGGTCCAAATGGTGAGGAGAGTGACCTATATTCTATTTCCTATAAGAAATAAAGAAAGGAAATCTTAGAATCCAGAAGTGTTATTTCTAGAACAAAGTAGTCTATTTATACAATTTTTTTCCCTAAGGGTTGAGAAGGCAGGAAGAAGAGGGCCTAGTCATGCTGTGATTTTACTAGCTTCTGGCAAACATGGCCCACAAAAAAGCCAGGATATGTTTTGGGATATACATGTAGGGCATTTTTGTGCCATTTCATAGCACACCTATGTAACGTGTCCTAATAAACCCACAAAGTATCTCAATGAGGTGGGCAGAGAGCAGGCCCACTGTTCTCTGGGGTTGATATTGAGGGTGAGGAAGGAAAAGTGTTCATGGGGGGTGAGGAGGGGAGAGAAGAACAGTACTTGAGTGACTAAAATAGAATCCAGATGGCCAAAATTTTCTTGTCTAGATACCATGAAGAACTATTCCAGAAGCAAAAAAGATGAATTTTTTTTTTTTTTTTTTTTTACCTTGATCGTAACAGAGCTTCTTTCCTCGTACTTGCATTCACAGCGTAGACAGTATGCTTCTACATCAGGCCCGCGCACGGGCATGGGATCCACAACATGAAGGCAATCGCTGAAAAAACAAAGATAAAAATACTGCATCAGGCTACCTGGATGTTCTACTTGTACTGATCAAAACTTTCCTGAAATCCAGAAAAATCACTGACCTTACCCAATTACAGAATTTAAGGAACAACTAATAAGGGAAGTGAAATCATTTGCTTTCTCAATATTAGCAATTTAGTGAGATTTAACAGTCTAAGAATCATAAAGACATATATCAAGTAGCTATTTTCAAAGTGTTGCTTGTTGGAGCGCCTGGGTGGCTCAGTCGGTTGAGCATCCGACTTTGGCTCAGGTCATGATCTCGCGGTCTGTGGGTTCGAGCCCCGCATCGGGCTCTGTGCTGACAGCTCGGAGCCTGGAGCCTGCTTCAGATTCTTGTCTCCCTCTCTCTCTGCCCCTCCCCCACTCACGCTTTGTCTCTTTCTCTCTCTCTCTCAAAAATAAATAAACATTAAAAAAAGAAGTTAAAAAAAAAGTGCTGCTGTTAACAGTTAAAAATCCCAAAAGGCATTGAAAATTACTTAGCATATCAAGTTATATTTAGACTTGTACAGTTACCAAGAAAAACTGCTTTAAATGATTTAAAGTATCTTGGGGCATTGTTCAAATATGAGATATCTCTTTTATGAATGAATTTAGTCTTAACTGCCACAGTGTGGTATCTGAATGGCTAATCACACTTAACAGTTGGTAAATTCTGAAACTCTGAACACTCAAAGGCACAGTAAAAAACAATTACTTTTCTTAATGAGCAAAGGTCTATTGAAAAAGCATGGGAAAATAGGCTTAGGACAACAAAAATATTTAAAAGTGCAAACTGATTACCCAGAAGAAGTATATAAAAAATAATAAAAGGCTGAATATTTTTGTTGTTGGATATTCTTTATTTTCCCCCCATTTTCCAGGCCACTTATGAAAAAAGAAATTCTATCCAAAAAATCTTTCCCCAGAAATCTGTGAATTCTAGGAAATAATTAAATTATTACTCTTCCCAGCTATTAAGAGCCTACTACTCTGTTCACCTTCAGCAAAAGTAGGCAAGGGGCACCTGGGTGGCTCAACTGATTAAGTATCCGACTTCCACTCAGGTCATGGTGGCTTGTGAGTTCAAGCCCCACGTCGTGCTCTCTGCTGACAGCTCAGAGCCTGGAGCCTGCTTCAGATTCTATGTCTCCCTCTCTCTCTGCCCCTCCCCCGCTTGTGCTCTGTCTCTCGCTCTCAAAAATAAATAAACATTAAAAAACTTTTTTTTAAAAAGTAGGCAAAAGTTTCCTGTCCTGCCAGCTGCTGGGCAATTTTCTTTTGTTATCTCTTCTTTAGGCACTTCCGACTGCCTAAAGAACTCTACAATAGCATCCTGTCTCACCCCACCCATCTTTTTTGGGGGCACACAATTCTCTAGGCTACAGCTTTTCCTTTGCTGTACTTTTTTATGTCCCATTCCCTCAAGCCATGGCATAAGAGAGAAAACCCAAAATGGCATAAATGATAAAAATTCCATCAGTTATCCCTAACAGGTTATTTAATTTTAACAAAGGTACTAATGAAAAAGAAACCTCAACTGGTAGTATGGTAAGGTAATCTATCTCAGAATCCTAGCCCAACACTTTCATAGAACCCAGGGCTCCTACCACCTAGGTCAGCTCCCCTGTATTTCTCTAAACCTCAGGAAAATAAGACTTATCTCCTAGTTTCCTATTTCAGCTTCGGAAGCCTTCATAACAATACCCAGGAATTACTTGAGAATCTAAATGTTGAGTACTGAGTGTTTCTTTGTAAATACTGATGTAGTTTAATAACAAGGAGATATTGAGCATTGTGCAAAAGTTGTGCGGGGTGGGAAAGGAAGCAGGAAGGTTGGTTCTGGGTGGCTGGTCATGATAAACACAGAACCCAGGTAAAGAACGCAACCACTCTGGGAACGAGGCAACACCTCCCCCTAGTGCCAAAAGGAGGACTTACATCATATCCCAAACACAAACCAGAGAACTCAAACTTTTCTTAAGTTAGACAGTGTAAGTCAATAAAGAATTAATGCCAACAATGGATGAAATGGAAGCCACAAGGTAAAACTATACCTAGGACCAAATAGTTATTGGAGGCTTTGTAAAGCCATAACATCCTGGTTAATCATAACCTGCCTACCCTTTTAAAGCCAGCTAATAACTGAGAACGTATCCTCAGTAAAAGGCTGAGCTGCAGGAAGGAAGCAAGGGAGAGAGGGAAGAAAAATCGGAAACAAGCTTTGTTCTCAGTTGTTTATTTTCAAAGCCCCCTATTTTGACCAATACCCAAAGATGAATGGCATATGGTTCTGTCTGAACCTGGAATTATAAAGTCAGTGAAAAGATCAGTGCTAAACACTTGAAGAGTGAGTTTACCTGCCCCTCCAATAACAGGCATCATATTCTATTAATAATAATAGATTAACCTAAATGTGTTTAATGTATTTGGAAAATTTATAGGAATAACGTAATTTATTTGAGCTTTCTTATATCATAAAAGTAACTTGATGATATACAAATCTATAAGAATATAGCTAAATCACTTTGTAATATGAGACATTTATTTGTTTACTTTTGAGAGACAGCATGTGAACGGCCATGAGTAGGAGAGGGGCAGAGAGAGAGAGAGAGAGAGAGAGAGAGAGAGAGGTAGAGAGAGAGGTAGAGAGAGAGAGAGACAGAGAGAGAGAGGTAGAGAGAATCCCAAGCAGGATCTGCACTGTCAGCATAGAGCCCAACGTGAGGCTCAAACTCACAAACCATGAGATCATGATCTACGCCAATATCTAGAGTCAGATGCTTAACCGACTGAGACACCCAGGCGCCCCTCTAATATGAGACAATTTAAAGTGGAGCATGGAAGTTCACAAGCAATTTTCAAGAACACACTTATCAAATATCAGACTGAACCTAAATGCATATCATGGGAAGAACAGACAACAGTATCAGAAAAAATACACATGCTCAAAGGCTACCTTTTCTTTTTCAAAATCAATTTGGAATATTATAACCAAATGAACTTAATTTTTGCTTTCAAAAATTTTGCTGTATATTTAGTTGTGAAATCAGGTATGTGTGAAAAGTTCCTAGCATAAAGAGCTATTTTTCTTGTAAGCCTATCCCAGCAATATTCCACCATGGTTACAAACCATAAAATATCACAATTTCATGAGAAGGAGCCCATCCATCCTGCTACAAAACAACTGCTTCCCAATCATTTTATGCCATATGTGGAAAACTTATCATTTGTCAGGTCCATAAATAGAGGGGGCTACTGGTGACCAGTGAGGCAAGATCCCCGTCATCATAGGCCTGCTTGATTACCCCAAGGGCTGAGGGAGTTCTTGACACACCTGAAACCATGACATACCGACTGGGAAACTATGCTATACACGGCTCCTTCCCATTCTGTCCTGAGCCTTTTGACACTTCTAAACATAGTCTCCTATGTAGTTGGCAATATATCATCAAAACCTACAAGGTGTGAAAATTATAACCCAGATAAATGAGGCTTGCTTACCTTCCACTGAAAACCAAGAGGGAGGACTAAGATAGCCAGAAGGTAGCTATGGGCAGGTAGGTGCCACAAACTCAATTCCATCCCTTATAAAATGCTCCCTACTTGGGGTTTTGTGTTTTGGCCATATTCCTTTAAGTTTACATCAAGCACGCAGAGCCTTACTCTCACTTTTTCAAATGGAAGTGGAATTTGACACTTACAATTAAAAAGAAATACAGGTGACCCTTGAACAATAAGGGTTTGAACTGCATGGGTCCACTGTACACAAATTTCTTTCAGTAGACACAGTAAATGTATTTTCTCTTTCTTATGACTGTCTTAATATTTTCTTTTTCTAGCTTACTTTATTGTAAGAGTAAAGCACAAAATACATATAATATACAAAGTATGTGTTAATTAACTATGTTACTGGTGAGCCTTCTGGTCAACAGTAGGCTATCAGTAGTTAAGTTTTGGGGGATATTTTTGACTGTACCAGGGTCGGCACACCTAAGCCCTACGTTGTTCAAAGATCAGCTGTACCTAAAAAGGAAACAATACACTGGATAAACATTCTGGGCTAACAATGACACCCATAGAGAGAAATTTGACAGGTAATTCAGTAATCTAGAATACTTACCAATCTTTTTGGGATATGTTCTTATTATAAATATGCCCAGAATTATCTTTATAGGGAGGACAGATACATTTACATCGGACATCCTCGAAGTTCTGTAACCAAAATGGAAACTTAGTATAGCTTGTTGACATGTTAGCATCGATATTTTTTTAAAAAACTGTACCATATACATTTTACTAAGCATCCCCTGTCAAATATTCTAAAACCATTAATTCTGAGAAATAAAACTTTTAAAAAGTCAGGTTCTTTTTGGTAATGCTAATGAATCTTTATATATTACATAAAATTATTTTGAAATAATACCTGTACATGATCTGTGGTTTATTACTTACAATTTACAGGTCATACGACAGTCAAACTGTGCTAATGTTATCACCCTCTGCCTGCTAGTAAAAAGACACAGCAGACAGCTGTGCCTGCAAATAAGAATCCAATTACAAAAGGATGGGGAAGAATCAAACTAAATATTACTTATAAAACAAGTCACAATTCTTTTATCCACCATTCTTCCACCCTCTGGTAAAATGGCATTGATATGGATAAAAGGGGTTGTACTAGAACTCTATACAAGGTATGAAGTTTTAGAGGCACTAAGCTACAATTTAGAAAGGAAGTACACAGGGAAGTAGCTGAGTCTAGCTGAGATCAGTTTGGTCTACCCTTCCCAGGAAACTTTGCTTCCAATTCTGGTAGACAGAGAGTATAACTACTGATAAGCAAGTTGCAAGAGGTGGAGAAAGAGGTGACTAAATATAGGAGTACAGGGGGTAGGAGAAGCTTCATTAACAAAAGGGAATTTATCTGAGAAGGCAGCGGCTCATTAGTCCCCAGAGGACAAGGCCCAGTGTTGCTATATATGTGATGCTATGTGTGGCAGAACTGTTGACAATGCATTCATTCATTCAGCAACCACTTAGTGAGCATCTGTTCAGTACCAGAACTTGTGCTCAAGGAAGTAGATTCAGATTCCTGCCACTTATTAGGACACACCCTAGTAATGGAGACTGACAAACAAATACATGATTACAATACAATACTTAAAGTGACACAGGAGATATGCAGAGGATGCCAGCAATGTTCTGAAAGTCAGGAGAAGCTGCTGTCCCTGTTTCTGGTGGGAGGTAGGGAAGATTTCAAAAAGAACTCCCAGTTAAAAAACCCCTGATATGTCTGCATGTAACCCGTCTTTCCCAGCCCCTATATTTAAAGATATTATAGATTAAATCTCCTATTTTTAAAAAATGCAAATGTCATTGTTTCCCCATGACATTAATGTGAACTCCTTCTGTTTTCTCCAAGAAGGAGCTAGCTCATCAAGGAGGAAACACAAGTGTGTATGGGGCCAGAGCACGTCTGGAGGGTGGGGGCATGAAGGGGATTAAAGAGCAGCATGAGGAGGCTAGAAGGACCAAGAACTGGAGCAGGGGAGAAGGCCACAACTTCACCTCTCCTGCAGTTTGGATCCTCCCTTCTCCCCTAAATTATCAGGGAAAGAGAAGGCAAACAAGGGCCAAGAGATCCCAGAATGAGTTAGGTTAGTTTACTAGGCTGGTGAGAGAGACTCTGTGTAGGTCCTATTAGGAAGGAAGGCTGCCAGGAAAGGCAAGTTCTTACACTGGGGAGGGAATCGTTCAGGGATGAGTTGAAATGAGTCAGTTCCTAAGAGGGAAGATTTCCGTGACATGGGGGCTTCCTATCACTTTGGCTTAGGGAATGGAGCGGGAGGGTGAGGAAGAGGGCTGTCTGTGAGGCAGGTAGAGGGCGGCGGTAGACTGTCTGGAGCTTAATTAAGGGTGGAAAGTTAAAGGCTCTTAGAGTTGGAAAGGCTGTAAAGTTTCAGGTGGGTGCTGTAGGGGCTGGGAAGGGAAGTGTCTAGGAGCTAGAGGAGTTGCCTCTCCAGGCTGTGCGCACTGTCAGGGCTGGGTGGAGCTGGGGCCGCAGGCGGGGTATCAGGCGGGAAAGAGGAGAGTAGTGTCGGGGCTAGGGGTGGGAGTGGGGGCAGTGACTGTCAGACTGTCAGGACCAGAGGGCGAGAGTGCTATCAGGCAGTAGGGTGTTGGGTGGGGGGTTTGCTAGGGCTGTGAAGCCAGGGGTCGGGCTGGCAGGGCTGGGAGAGTAGTGGGGTGGGGAGCAGGTTGACAGACTCAGTTTCCGCAAGGCCAGGGGCAGGGGAGGAGCTCCAGTCTGGAGCGCAGGCTGGGCAGACTCACCTTGGCGGCGTCTGACAGCTGCACCAGCAGCAGCACTGAGAGCGCCAGGCAGGAAAGGCTGAGCAAGGAGCCAAGCCGTAGAAAGCCTCCCCACAGAGTCGCCATCGCTGCCAGGCCCAGCAGTTCCCACAACCCGGAGCCCGCCCCCCGAGACCTGCTCCCGGCTGGGGCTCAGTCTCGGGCTCCGGCTCCGGCTCCGGCTCCTCCGCCCGCACTTCCGTCTGGGCTTTGGCGTCACGGCCGCGCCGGGTCAGCTACAAAAGCTTCCGCCCCGGAAGCGGTTCCCGGTGCTAAGGGTCCAGAGGCTGCGCCGTGCCGACGCCTGTCCCGCGTACACTCGGACCGCGAAAATGAAAGGGGAGCCTCCGGGGGCGCAGCCTTGGCCTGGCAGAACTTTGAGGCGCGAGGCTGCCTTTCTCGGATGCAGTAGCAGTGGGGGTTGTGGACCGCCAGTGCTCTGTAAAGTCCGCTCGCCCAGGGAGACCCCCAGTAAGCCCAGGAGCTGAGATGGGAACCTCCAGCGACCCCTGCGAGGCCGGAGCCGTTCGTTGCCAGACACTAGGCTGCAGTGAGCCCAAGCCCCAGGGATTGCTTGAGAGGGCGGCCCATCCCGCAGGCGCAGGTGGGCGGGTGGCAGGCGTGGAAACGGAGCTATGGGACTGACTGGCCGAGCCATCCTTTCCCGGGAAGCCTAACCCCCTCAACCAGGGGTTTGGGGTCCTCTCTGGCACTTTGGGTACCAACCTGTCGCCCGTGCGCCTCTCGAACGCCGCTCCCCGCAGGGTTTTTAAGTCTCTGCTTTCGTGGGTCTGGCTTCTGTTTAGGTCTCCCCACTTGCCTCCCGCTGGGGGCCGACCGTCTAGGCTCACCCTGATGCCGGAACTGGGCCACAGCGACGCGGCGTGGGCCAGGCCAGGGCAGGCTCCGCAGGGTGTGGAGTTGGAGAAAGAACCACCCTAGTGGCCTCCTCTGCCCAGGACTCCAGAAGGTGGGGGATCCCGGTGCTGCAATCCTATTCAGGGCGACTGGCCCCTAAGTCAGAGTTGGGGGAGCGCTGACCGGTCTTTCCAGTGCAGGTCATCCTCTATAGGTAATTTAGAACCCTGGAGATGGCACAGTGTCTCCAATTAAAATATTTTTCACTTAGTGGAGAGTGGAGCTGGATAATGGAAAGGATACAGGGTTCATCACCACTACTACAGATTTGCTGAATGACTAGGCAAAACACTTTTCTGAGCCTCTGGTTCTTGGTTCAGTATGAGATTGAACTTTTATCTGTGGATTTCAAATTGTCCCATGGGATACTCATGTTTCTTTCTTTAAACAAAACTTACAGGTTTTTCTGGTTTGCAGAAATGTTTTAATAGAATTTTTTCGGTATTTTTCTCCCATGTGATTATTGTTGATGCTAGAATGTAACACACGGTGTCTGATGTTGCCCCCCAAATATTTAACCCCTTTCGATCCCAAATGGCACCTAGTCCCAACCAGAATCAGAGGGGTAGGACTAGATGACCTTCCATCAAAGTCCCTCCAGGCTGCCCTGTGAAGATACTGTCACATTAGTGAAATATCAAGTCTTTGTTGTGGGTGGTCTGTTGGCCAGAGAACAACCTGGAGACACCTGAGGTCAGATGTGCCTATGAACCATTGTGGATCTGAGATTGCTAAAAGCAAGTTTGGGATCAATTTAGGGTTAATTGTCTAGGTCTGGCATTTAAAGGGAGTGCTCTGGCTAAAACCTCATAGGCTTTTTCTTCAAAATTGTTCTCCCTTGACTGGGAGTACAAAGGCTTAAAATAAATATATAGTAATGCCTCTGATAGGCCTCATCTGTTTAATGGAGAAATACCAAGTACACTCATGGAAGCAGAATTTTAAGGTTACACTGTCCAATACATAGTCACTAATCACATGTGGTAATTGAGCACTTGAAATGTGACTAGTCTGAATTGAGTGTAGAATAGACATTGGATTTCAAAGACTTAATACAAAAAAACCCCAAAATATCAATATTTTTATATTAAGGTTGAAATATTTCAGATACATTGGATTAAATAAAATGTTATTAAAATAATTTCATTTGTTTCTTTTTACTTCTTAAATGTAGCTAGTAGAGAATTTACTATTTATGTTAGGTATCACTGTTGTAGAATATGGAATATGGCTACCATGAGTGAAGAGTGACTGTAAGATGGTTGCCTGGCTGGAGGCTGAATGAAGACTCAGGCTTGGGTAAAGAGAAAGGTGACTGGGAGGAATTGGCACATCTGGAGCCAAGGGTTTGGGGGAGGTAGATCTCCGCCAAAAAAAAAAAAAAAAAAAAAAAAAAGAAAGGAAAGAAAGTAATTTTAGGTGATGCAAAAGAAGTAGAGAGGTTAGTTCCTCTTGTTCTGCCCTGCTCACACCTAGATAACACTTTCCCCTTAGGTCGGGGGTCGGGGGTCTTCTAAGCTAGAGAGACTTACCTGACTTAAGTGCACTCCCTTCTGTGTTTGTGCAAATACCTCATAACTTACCCCATTATGGTAAAATTATGTTTTCACATCTGCCTCTATATTCCCAGCCTCCACTCAAATATTGCAAGCTCTTTGAGGGCAGGGACTTTGCCTATTATCTTTGTACCTGGAGACTGGGATAGTGTAAAAACCAATAAATGTTTGTGGGGATCCAGAAAAGGGAAAGGGTGAACAGGAGAGGTTCCTCTGGTCTGTGTCAAACAACCAGGTACCTACTTGAATCCCTACTTGATTCCTTTCTGATCATTAGAAGGTGATGCTGAGCCCAAAGAACTATGGATGGGATCTGGGGCACCATAGTAGGCAGGAGAGGGGAGATTTCTGACATAGGATCTTCCTAGACCTTCAGGCCACATCAGAGTTCTTTTTATAGGAAAGACTGGCCTTAGTACCCAATCTTTTCCCTTAGTCAGAATCCACTCTTCCCCTCCTTTTTTCTTGCTTCCCTGTGACTAGGTTTCCCGACTTCATTCTTTTTTAAGGAGTGACATAGATCCAGGGGCACCTTCACACTTGGCCTGGGCCCTCTCACTTCTTTTTGAGGGCTGAAAATTTCCCTGGTGGGGGGATTTAAATGTGGAAGTTAGAAGGTTGGGAAGGACAGAAGCAACAACCTAGGACAAGTGTATCTGGGACCAAGGTTTTGCCAGCTCTGTCTGTAGCCTCCTCACCTCCTTTCCCCTCCAGTGATCAAACAGCTCTCTGGATGCCCCTTTCTTATTTCTCCACCCTACCCGATCTACTCAACACTTTCCCAGGCCATGCCAGTCCAGAACAAATGGAGTCATGCACAACATCAATGATGATAGTTTCCTTGGATTGTGCCTGTAGTGGTTATGGCAGGACAGGACACACACACACACACACACACACAAGTTCTTCCAGTTATTTCTGAGCATACCCAGGAATGTCTTATATGAGCCCTCTCCTTTACCACGTGCGTGACTAGGATACTTCCTCCTACTTGACCTCCTTCAGTGAGATTTTCTGCCCTCTGCTGCCTGTAAAGCTGTGTTAAGTGTGCCATGCCACATCACTTGCTGGTCCCCACCATGATATTAATATATGGGGCCAGCATATTCTCCCTATTCGTAGAAATGCTGGTGCAACTATTGCTGATAAGTTACTGGAGTCCCTAAAATAACAAAACAATACAAGGTTTAGTACCAAAGCTGGGAGAATCTTAAGAGTTTCTTTCAGAAGACTGCTAAATCTGCATTGTTGGTCTCCCAGTGTTCTAAGGGAACACTTAAGGATAACAGTCCCTCCTCTCTAAACCATTATGATTTTCAAATAAATGAAATCTACATTTGTGTTTTTTACCAATATGGTATATTTTAAAAAATCAAATAGGATTTCACAG